CTGCAGATGTCAAACAGGTAACAAAAAGCAGGATAAAAGCCTGACATCTATCCTTCTTTTGCATCTATCTCCTTTGCTACTTTAAACTTTGGGTTCAAATTCCTGTTCAACTCTGTACGTAGACATGTTAATCATTCAAGGAGTATACGTCTAGAACTGGACTCCTCCGTCTTCAAGGCTAAAGACACCAAGATAAGAGTAGCTAAGACACTGACAGGGACACCATAATCAACAGATTGTCAACCAACAGCTTTTACAATGTCCTATTCCAGACCACGGTGGTGGCACCTAGAAGTCTTCCGTGATTGTCCTGAATTTGAAGGTGGACTCAGTCATTGTCCTAACTCCATCTAACTCTTCAGACTTGTCTTCCTCTGAGTCATTCTCTTCTGCAGTCATCTTGGATTCCAGGAATAACAGGTCTGATCAATAAATATCTTGTGCCAAGAGTCAGAACTACCCAGGCAGCAGCAACTTTCTTATCCCTGACTTGATTCCACATGGCTGATCATGAGCTAATAATCAACTAGAACAGTTTGACCCAGGCTTCTTGACTGTACATACTTCTTGCCCCTGCTTTTGTTCCTTCCCTACATAATCCTGATTCTCTTTCAGTGCCCCAAAGACAAGGTTGAGAACCCTGGCTCCCCAGTATGTCTATACTGAGTAAAGTCCTTTCTTACTTCACCACTTCTTTTTACTATTTGTTCAGTTGGGGCAGGTGGCAGAGCCTGTTCTGTTGGGAACCCCTAGAGTTAGGGCTCTGCACCAGGACTCTGGATAGCAAGATGATGACCTATACAGAATTTTCCCCCTTAATGTGTAGGAGTTTATTCTGTATCTTGAATAGTGAGTTGAAAGTTATTAAAAATTTCTCCCCTGGTGAAATGCTAATTTTTAGAGCTTGGTTCTGCCCCAGAGGATTTGCTAGCAGAGACAAGGCAAAGGCTTAGATCCACTTTAAGTTGTTTGTGTACTTACTCCAGTCCCATTTTAACTTTTGGATATGTTGGAGAAAGATATTTTGTTTTTATAAGCAAAAACTACTTGAACTTTAAAGTTTCTTATCATTAGCTAAATCATTTACAAAGAAATGCAAAGGTAGTTACTAGATAATGTCAAAGGTTTCTCCCAACTTTAAAAACCCTTTTATGGATTATAATTGTATTTAGTTCTTTTTGCATAATCTCTAATATCTTGGATTTTACTTTTCTTATAATCTTTTTTTCTGTACACATGGGATGTTGTATTTAAGTAACTCTACCATATTTGCATTTGAATATGGAAGGAAGTATGGCCTCTTTCTATTCAAGATAAGTAAAATCGTCCATTGGCAATATCAAAGCCACTAGAATTTTAAAATGATCTTTTTCTTTGATATTTCTATTATAAGTCCTAGAGAAAGTATATATAAAGGATTCAAATGTGAACATTAGACTTCCTTTTGCATGTTAAAAAGAATCTAGTCTGGGCTTGGGGCATAGAGCATGGCTTTATCACCCAGCAAGCACAAGGCCCTGCGTTCAAACTCCAGAAGCACCAAAAAAAAAAAAAAATCTAGCCTGTATCAGACTAAGATGAGGGGCCGGGGCCAGTATGGACTGGCTTCTGCCTTCCTTCTTGAATTCCATTTTGAGTTCCTTTATCTCACACTGTACCCTGTAGGCCTACTAGCCTTATCTTTCCTGGAACAAGAGAAGCTTTTTCCAGGCTCAGGGCTTTTCCATTTATTATTCCCTTTGGAAGGTGAGAAAAGAGCTCCTCTCTTTCTTATTCTTTAGGTCTTGGCCTTAAATAGTCAACTTCTTAGAAAGACTTAGGGCTGGTGGAGTGGCTCAAGTGGTAAGAGTGCCTGCCTAGCAAGTTTGAAGCCCTGAGTTCAAGTCCCAATGTTGCAAAAATAAAGATTTAAGAGAGTCATCCCTATCTAAATGGATTATTTTCTTAACATTGCACTATTCCTTCAAAGAATTTATAGCAATTTATGCATGTTCAGTAATGATTCATCTGTGTCCCTGGGACTAACCTTGCATAAACCCATCTCTCTTTTGAATAAATAAATGAACACTGGAGCACTAACTCTGAGATACTTTATTGTGGAAATCTCCCAGGTCAAGCCTGGCAATATTATACCACCGCAGCTTCTAGCCTGAATAAGAAGGTAGTGCCTTCTAGCTCTACAGTGAAATAAGGAAATTTATTCTCAGGACCATAAAGTACAAGAAGAAACACAAGTGAGAAATTATGCTGACATAGTCATGTATAAAACTCAGGCTTAATGCTGGTGGGGCAGAAAGTTGTGACACTTCTCCTTACCCATCATATGGGTCACATCTGACATTGCTGTAACAAAGGACAGACTAAAGAGAAAAGCATAATAAACTTACTTAATCTAAATTTTAAGTGATACAGGAGCTTTCAGAATGAAGACCCCAAAACATAGAGAACTCTCCCCCCATTTATGCTTAGGTTTGATGAAAAAGGCACAGTCATGTAGAAATGTGATTGGATACAATGGTATGATCTAATGGTAATAGACTGAGCTGGGGAACCCAGTAAGGCCTGCCTGTCCAGGTTCCTCTTGTCCCGCCCCACCACCACACATGAGGCAGGACCCTTCTGGAGTGAGGAGGATCTTCAAGGGTAAGGAGAAGGGGAAAAGAGACCTTTCTAGGTTTTATGGTTTGCTTTGGAGGAGTTGTGACTTGGTTCCTAGGAGAAAAAGGGGTGGATGACAGAAGATATGTCAGAGAGACTTTGCTTCTTAAATTCTTCAGCTTTCCTTCTACTCAAAGTACTCAGCCAGCCAAAACACTATATGTGGACTATCATGTTCTGAGCTCCAACAATGCCCTCTCCATTTGATCATAGAAATAATAGTATACCTACATATTAGAAGTCAGGAAGACTGAATGGGTGGGTATAGTGAGCAATGGTGCTCTGACCAGATAGATCCCTTTTAGTACCCAGCTCCCACCTACTGGGTTTTCTTTTGCTTCCAACAGCTAGCAGCTGCAATTCTTTCTGTAGGCCAAAGCTGGGGCTGCTAGAGACCCTTGGCTGACAGCATAGAGAGAAGGTGACTGGGAATTACATCCATTCAGCCCTGTCCACACAATTGAGGGGGTTTTGGAATATGAAAGCCCATGCTCCTTGCCTCCGGTTAGGAGTTCTCTAACTTATTGAGTCATCCTATGTTAGATGTGCTAGTGCCTGGCTTTCTTTCTCTGTCCCTGCTCTTCTACTTTAAGAAATTTCTTCTGGGAGCACTGCCTTACTAAATTACATGCACTTAAATCCTCAAAACCTCATCTTAAGGTCTACTTTTAGAAAAGTAGTTTTAAAACAGAAGAACAGAGGTTCTTGATTTTTTTTTTGCCTCAGTCAATAAGCACATACTGTCTACCTATATGCAAGGCACTCTACAGAAGCAGAAAAGAGCATTTTAAGCAGAGAAAACAAAATAAAGGTATGGAACCATGCAAGAGAATAACTACACACAAGTAATCTAGATCTCCCTAACAACTTTCATACACACATATTCCTCCTTTCATATAACATTTTCTTTTTAACTCTACAAGAAATTAGTTTTCATGTGCTCAACTAAATTTCTTTTGAAGATGTATTTGATTAATTTGTTTTTCTTCTTTTTTGGCTTATAGAAGGTGGAGAGAAGGTAATGAAAAAGGAAACCAGCAGGAAGGAGCATGTTCTCTTTCTACTGAGATTTCCGGTCTCCCTCTAGTACCCTTTACTGGCAGATTTTTAAACGAGGAACAGCTGGAAAAGAAATGTGGCTTATAAAGTCCCAGTGTTACAAGAATATAGAAAGATGTACTTGCAGCTGAAAGAGAGTAATTTATTATCTGGTATACATTCTGACTTTGTCTATTATGTTTGGGCAATGCATTAAGCAGAAGGATGAAAAGACAACACATTCTGTTTTCAGGGAAAGCAAAAGATTTCTTTTTTAAAAACACTTTGATTCTAGTAATAAGCTTAGATTGCAAACATTGACACTAACATGCATTTCTGTGGCATTTATTGGTGATGAGATGTAAATAGTTCCTTATTCTGCAACAGAGGAATAAAAAGGAAGACATATTGCTGCCATTTTCTTCTATTATGAAAATGACTGTTCTAATTTTACCCAATGGCATAAAACCATTAAGAGTATTACATAAAATCTATTTAACAGTTAATTTTAAAGTCAAATTATACACTAAAAAATGAACTAACCTATAAGATTTTAAAAACGTGTTTGCCTAATGTTGGTAATTAAAAAAATATATTCTGAAATAGATTGATTCATTCTCACAAGAGGGTTTTCCTATGTTAGGGTACAAATGTTAGGGTACCTTTGAGGCTTACAGCCCACTCAGCCTGAAACCGGCCATGGCTAACATGACCCAAGCCACCACTTACTGGAACTAAGGGAGGTGGGACGGTTTCTGGGAACAGGGACTGTTTCTGGTTAATCTTGCTAAAACGGTATGTAAGTCAATGAGTTGAGACACCAAATTCCTGATAAATAATCTTCAAGTAATCTTGCCCCACCACCAAGATGTGGGTGATATCAGAAATATGTGACCCCAGGGACCATAAAAATTGCTGTGTGACCGTGACTAATGTCTAAAAAAATATAAAAGCAGCCTGAATTTTGTATTTGGGGTCCGTGTTGAAACATACTGCGTCGGGCGGATACCCGGACCCCAGCTGGCTGGAAATAAACCTCGCTTTGTGGCTTACATTATCGTGAGTGTCTTTTTGTTCCTCTGAGGGGTGGTCAACCTTGGACCCCAACACCTATTCCTAGTGTATTTAAATTTAAGAGATTCATACTTTACATCAGAACATCTTCTAACTTCATTAGTTTTTCCCTTCTCTTCCTCCCTCCCTCCCTTTCCTTCCTTCCTTTTTAAAGAACAATAGCTTAAGAAAGATGGGAAATAAGCAAGTTTGTTTTCTGAAAAGATATTAAGAGTTAGAGTCATTTTCCCTTGAATATGTATTTTTATTTAGAATACAGCACTAAAAGCATGATGACAGCCTTTCATTCACAAATGTGTACCCGAGAAGCACACAATCTTTAAGGTCTGTTGTTCTTTACAAGTAATGTAAGTATAGTATTATCTTTATTTGGAACTACAGTCAAAGACGACATTTAGATTCCTCAGCTTTAGGGTACTTATTAACATCAAAATGATGGCCTAGTCATGCAGAGGAAAGAAATTCAAAAGCAGTTTCTTTTTCTTCTGTTAGTTCCTTTGCAGTAAGATCCATCTTTTCACGTGAGAAATCATTAATAGGGAGACCTTCAACAAACTTCCACGTCTTATTCTGTTTGAAAATAATTGCAAATAAGAGATTTACAATTAAACCAGGATTCGTATTTCAGCAAGCAACAGCCTACTTTGAATTTATATCTAAAGGTGTATGTGTTATATCTAATACATAACACATACACATAACACATAATGTGCCTGGTGGGAAGAGTTGAATCTTGTTTTCTAGATTAATTTCACTCATTTAATGATGTGAAATTGTGGTATACACAATTTTAAAACTAAGAAAAAACCCATCTAATTTAGTAAAGAAACAACTTTCTAGGCCAAATTATACCATTTTTGAGAAAAATATATAACTACTTTCCCACAGAAGGGAAACAGCCCCAAAAATCTTACCTTGATTATGACAGGGAATGAGTAGAGAAGATCATCGGGAATACCGTAGGAGTTGCCATCAGAGATAACACCCATGGACACAAACTCTCCCTGGGAAAAACAATTTATGGTCTCATGGTGCAAGAGACCAGTTTACACAACCAAATGACACATAAATTAACAAAATTAAACCAGGTTACATCTTTAATTATGTGCAAAATAATTTTATTACTATAGAAGGAATCTCACCAGCACCAGGTACGCCTATGGATATTATCTCATTCCACTCTACCAAGTTTAAGTGTCAAGTAGGCCAGAGAAGCATCATCCCTACTTCACAGATAAGGAAACTGTGGCCCAATATTGGTTTTAAGAGGAAATATGGTTTCCACATTACTCTAACTTAGCCTGTGCAATCCTGTGCAATAGATGTCATGTTAATAGATGACAACAGCTTGAAAAGGTTAAGTGACTAAGGTTACTTGGCCAGTGGGCTGCTGAGCTGGAGAATGAACTTAACTGGCTTGCCTGCTTCAGGGAATAAATGAGAGTCCTCACCTCTGGGGTTCCAAACCAGATGTCTCTGATGTGGTCACCAATGGCTTTTGCAGCAGACATTGCACTGGACAGTTTCCGAGCTTTGATGACAGCAGCACCACGCTGCTGCACAGTCTGGGGTGGGGCAGGCAGAGGCAGCAGTGTTACTTATCATGATAGCAAAATACTCATCAGTTCCAAGTGACCCTGGGATGAAAGGCTGCAACCATAGCTTAATGTGTCCCTTTCAAAATCATTCACCAGTCTTTTTGAACAACAACAAAAAAGTACAAATTCTCCCTAGAATGTTTACCATACTAAATACAAAGAAAAGGATCTTGGTATGAAGATAACCACATGACTTAGTTTTTTTCCCTCTTTGACAATCAATCTCAACTGCTATACAACAGATCAGATCATGATTGGCTTTGTATCATAAGAAAAGAAAATATGCAATCCTCAGAGCAGTTATGAAAGACTTGTTGTCCTTGAGGTTTCCCTTTCATCCTTTGAGAGACACTCAGATCAGCAGTATGGTGACTCTCAAGAGTCTTGGCTCTTAAGAGTTCATTGGCTTTTCTTACCATGATGAATTCTCCCTTGAGCCAGCTGTCATCTTTCAGAGCTTCATACACACCAACTTCCTTTCCATGTAATTTCACCTTGGCATGATTAACATCAGGATACTGAGTTGAGGAATGGTTTCCCCAGATAATGACATTCTTTACATCATCAGCAGTCACACCAAGTTTAAGAGCAATCTGGTTGAATTTAAAACAAACATACCACTTAGATAAAGGATTTTAATTTAAAATGTGACTTATTTGACAAAAGAACTTAAGTAAAGCTAAAAAGTTCTGAAACTTCAAGAGAACACAAGTTATGGTGTTCCCTTAGCACTTCTGAGCAATGAGGTACATCATCTATATTTAAACGAAATTTTTATTATATACAAATTAATTTTCAAATAATCCTAAATATGAAATTTTTGAGTTGGAAGGGACTCGCATTATCAAAATACGACTGACTCCCATTTTATAAATTAGGAAACGAAAGGAAAGAGGTTATACATATGCACCTTGCTTATGATGTGGTGACACCCCAATAAACTCAATGTAAGTTGAAAATATCCTAAGTAAAATGGGTTTAATACACAAAACTTAATGAACATCAGAGCTTAGCCTAACCCACCTAAAATGTGCTCACAACACTTACATTAGCTTATAGTTGGGCAAAATAATCTAACACAAAGCCTATTTAATTATAAAATGTCAAAAATATTTATATATTTATGAATATCTATATTTTGCCTTGGTCAAACTAACCAAGATTTATTTACCAAGAACTTAAGAACCCAAAAACTGCCTGAATGTAAGCTTCAGCTACTCCAAAATACAGTGAAGACAAACTACCTCTGGTCTCTTCTCCCTATAGGCCTCCATTCTCCCCTTACTCCTTTGTTTATGTTGCTTGCCCCTTGTTCCTTTAAGTCTTGAGCTAATCCAGTTCTGTGCTGGATGCCAAGACCAGGAACTCTGTACCCAGCAGATGTTATTTCTGAATGATTATTCATATCAAAGCTAGTCTAAATTAACATGTATCCGGGATAACAGTTTTTTGGTTCCTTAGATGTTTTCATTTTTGTCATACAGATCTGTTAAAGTTTTTGACTAATTCTCCAGCCCTGGTAATTTTCTTTCCCCTAATACCAGCTAAGTGGTATGACCAGTGAGCAGACATATGGCTTGCAAATACACAGGGGAGTTCTGCAGATGATAAACAGCCACTAGGTAATTAAGATCTCTAAGTGTCAAAACAAATTAAGACTAGTCAGCATTCATGTAACAAAAATTCATCTTTGGGTTTATTATTTTCTCACTGGATAAATAACTTCTGTAAGAAAGAAACTGCTTCTTCAAAAACTTCCTATAAATTATCACTGTCCAGACTACAAGCTGAACAGTGCATAACCACAG